GGACACTGCAGATTGCGTCTTTCTGGGCTTTTTTCATATAGAGATACTTAAGATTTATAAAACGTATATGACCTCTTAACTCTTTTTGTTTTGAATCATATTGAATGTAAAACAAAGACAATGTTTTAGTTTACCCCTTTTTCTTTGGAGTGTAATACAGAAAGAGAATGAACATTAATAAAACCTACCATTGTCAAATCAATCAGGAGACTGAAATCAGGAAAGCTTGGCGATTTTAAATATGTAAGTAGTATTCAAACATGATATAAAAGTAAGTAAAATGTATCAACAAATCATAATACTCGTACCATAGAGAGTTGTGGCTCTTACTCTAGAAATTGGTGGTAAATACATGCAAAAAATACAACTTTCATATAGCATTGTATTTATGGAACTTTATTTTAGTAAAATACTTTGCACTGATATTAACATGATCTCATATTTATATGGCAATGTTGATTGTAACCTGATGGATTTACAAGTGGTCATTAAAACAAAAAACTCATAAGTATTTCACACCTTGCCAAAGACAGGGATGGCAACCCGGGCATAGTAGCCACTGTCTTGGTGACCCCTTGTTGTAACAAGTTTCCAGCTCTCACCAGTATTTTGCACAGAGCTGCATGATCATGGTTCACTACCTATTTGATTTCCTTCTCTCCTCTATCAGATCTGTATTAAATCAAGTATAGGTGATAAGAAAATATTGTCTTGGATGAAAAAAATTGTGTACCTTTATGCATGGGCATAAATAGACATGTAGTATACCATATATGTAGTATGTAGTCTTCAATCTAATCAGTTCAACTGAAGTGTCATTTTTGCTTTCATACAGTATTTCTGTTGAAAGTCTTTAAATTGGGCCTTGAAAATTTTGCTGCTAAAAGTCACCATCATCTGGACAACCTACAGTCCTGTCATGCAATGTATTTTCAAGTTCTGCTTCATGTACACACTAAAGGTCTAGCAATTAAAGTAAACTCCCATGTAAACAACAATGTAAATGGTAAAAGTAAGAGTACTTCATGCAAGTCAAGGAGTCAAGTTTCTATACTTTTAAAAAATTGAACTGATTCTCAGGTGTGTATCAAAACTCATCACAGCAGTTGTGCCAAAAATAAACTTCAACTACACTCGTACTTGCAAAATTAAAAAAAGTTAAGCCAACTGTCCGTTTTCACCTAAATTACACTTATACATTTTGTAAAACACTGTGAAATTATATGCATTTTTTGCAAACTCTTGTTTTTTTATTTTGCATGTATCATCATAGATAAATTGAAAGCTTTATGAGGGGAAAATGTTTGTCCATGTTGTTGGGATTTGATTTTGGTGTGTGTGTATTTTCCAAGATGATGGTGAAATTTCACTTATTGTCTGTTTGTGGGTAGGTACGATAACTCAAATGTCATCCTCACATTTGGGAATCTTATTTAGTTCTACACAATATTAAAACTAAATGTCTTAGACTGCAAGACAACATCTACCTGTATTGCTTATGGTGGCAAATTGTAAAACAAACTGTCAGTTGGTCATCTTGGATTAGGTAGATCACAACACAGATCAACTTTTGTATATGTACAAGAAAGATAAATGTCTGTATACTAAGTTTGGACCTAATTGGGCAGCATAAATTTGAGACATAAGCAAAATTGTGCAATCATGAATTGGATCATGACATAAATCAATTTTCATTGATATGTTACAAAACAAATGTCTAAGAACCAAATTTGAACAGTATAAATTTGAAATAAATGCAAAAATGTGTGAAAATGGCAGATTTTGTCAAACTACATAGATGACAGTCAGTCATCCATCTTGAATTGGATCATGACACAAATAAACTATCGTTGATGTGCTACAACACAATTGTCTGTAAAACAAGTTTAGGCCTACCAGTAATTGGAAAGTATGAATTTGAGATGCAAACAGACTTTTACAAAAACAACAAATGGTTGCCAGTCATATAGGATCTTGACAAAAATCAACTTGAATTTTTGTGAGATAATTAACCTTTTCACCACCAGACTTCTCTTACCAAAAATTATTCAGCACTTTTTTCTTGTTATCTTCAATATTTCTGAAAATAAACCCTATTTTTGGAGCCAACAGATAAAATATGATTAAATTTTCAGTTTTGGCTATTTTTATCCCAATCTTCTGAAGTAAATTGCAGACTATGAACTGAACTATTTTGTGAATTTGTGATAAAAAGAAGGAACTGGTGGTGAAAAAGTTAACCATTACATTGCTTCTGTACCAAGTTCAAATTGCAATTTAAAGTAAAAAGACCATAAATAAGTACTGGCTGCCAGTCGACCAATTTCGTAAATGTGACTCAGTATGCCAACAGGTGTTGCCAATATTTTATGTTAGAGCAGAATCGGTCTCACAAATTTGAAATAATGTTCTACATGTATAAAATTTAGGTTTTCAAGATATTTTAAGGTCAAATATCACTGCCAGTCTATCATAAGTATTAGATTTCAGATCTGTTATTATTCAGTTTATAAAAATTTTACTGAATATGATCTGTACTGTTATAATATTTCACATTAACGCAAAAAAATCTAAACACAGTGTGTGACAGAGTAATTATATTTTGTAATATAATACAAATTGTCATTAATTTTAATTTGTTTTCTATAATGAGATCAATTAAAACTGACTTCCTAACTATTTAGCCATCCATAACACATCAGTGAACGGTGATGTCTGTATGCAATTATCTTGGCTTAAGGTAGTACATGTATATATTACTCATCTCTTCTTGACATTTTAGCAATCATGACATAAATTATGAATATGTAATGCAGGTTATTACATCCTGTGATATCATGGTGTACTTATAAGATTAATGATATTTTAGCAACTCTTTGAAGTCAGGGTCAAAACCAGCACGTAATGCAATGCATGTAAAAATCTTTAGCTTTGTCATACATCGGTCCGACAATATGGTTAGATGGGTATATATATATACATATAGATCATATATATCAATACATAATATGTAATATTTTTCGCAAACTATAGCTACTTTCAATGAAAGCATATTGTTTTTTTATTAGGCTGCTGTCCGTCAGCGTTGTCAACTTTAAATTTTCATCTGCTGCATAGGTCTCATAGTCACTACAAAATATGCTATGGGTGATACTCTCTCACATTTTTCTTTTCACGACTATAACTTATCAGTTCTTTAATTTTAGTTAATATTATTCTGAGATTTGTTTGGATATATTGTATTTATTTGGTGGACAACTGTTGGATAGATTTGATTCATTTTTCTATCATTTTCTCATTTTGTGAATACTTTTATTAGCTTAAAACGGGCTAGACTGATTTATTTAATATTCCTTTCTCATTATTTGTCTGAAACAGTGGAGCTACATCAGCTGACAGACTGGACTGTGTTTAAAATCAATAAAGTAATTTCTATAGACTGCCGACAGTCCTAAGGCCTAACTTATCCTTATCAGTGATATCTAATCACAGGAGTTGCAATGTTTTCATAGAATGTGAAGGTTATTTATTTTCTTACTTTGACAGTATATAAATTGGTGTACAAAATAAAGTGAAAAAAAAAGCCTATTTTGTCTGTTTAGTGCACATTACCATCACCTTTTCGCTGAGTTGCCACCCTTGTCTAATCAGATTCTGAACAATATTATGGCAGCAGTGCACTTCAATAACATTGTTGTTGCCAATCACAAGTAAATATTCAGCCCTCAAATGTGCTTTCAGTACCTGATACCTTTGATTAAATTTACTGCAAGAAGGAGTTGGTCGTCATATTATACTTGTATATTATTAGGTCAAAGTTGAATGCTGTGCGACGTGTATTTGTAATAGAAAGCAGCATAGAGACCACTGAATAGCAATAGTTTTTTAATGTATTATGATGAAATAGTTGTTTTCTGTGGCAAGGAAGTAACTCAAAATGTTGGTTGGTGACATTCATTTATAAATGATACCGGTATGTAGTGTCTTACAATGTACTTGTTCTTGTCTAGGAGTATTAAAAACTAGACATTAATTACAACAGGTTTTTAATGACAAAATGTGTTTTCATTATAGTCTATTGAAACCGCTACTAAATTGGAATTTTATACATATTATTCAACAGATTGACAGTGAATTAAAAAAGACCACATAGTGTTGACTATTAAATACTTTAACAATTAATTACAGGCCGCTTGTGACACAGAATATTATTACTATTGATACTATGTGTACTAAAATATATACACATGTCACAAACCACAAGTGTGTATATTTTTATTAGAACCCCTGACCTATGCAAACAATTAGGAATACATCAACATATTACAATGAAAATAATAATTCATAAAATAATTATTTCTTAGTTATATATATTACACTTGCTCTCAGACTTTAAAGGGATAATAACAGAATCATGTCTTGAATTACTATATAGTTGGTATTAATTATTGTGGAAGATATTTCTTTTTGAAATGTTCCCACCCAGGGCATTTAAACAGAAAATGGAGCTGAATTGACAGTTTCTGTTGATTGTCAAGAAAACATTTACTAGCTGAATTTTAATTCAACCTGTATATTAGACATTTATCCATATCAACACCATAGGAACGTTGTCACCATTCACAAACTTTAAACATGCATACTTTTTTCTTAATTTTTCGAAAATGTTGATCAGGATTTGTAACCACTAGAAAATTGTGTGCATTTGGTCCAAAATGATTAAAACAAAAATTTAGGAAAATACATAAACTAGGCAAAATGTTGCACCAAGATTTATGACACTTGATACAAAATGTACTATATCAATTTGCTGGGATATGATATGAACAAAATATAAACCCCAAAATACAAAAATGAGAACAAAAATCTGTAGCAATTACCTACATTGAATTTAATCACATTGAATAAAGCTAAATAAGTGCGAAAATCAAATAAATAATAAAATATTACTTTTTTAAGTTTGATTGAAATGAAATAATAAAACCTGTCTTGTCTTTTAGGTGATGCATATGGATATGAAGATGAATCTTCATCGGGAGATGAAAGTGACAATGAAATGTTACTCAAATTTCAACAGTCTCTTGGCTCTACTTCTAAAACATTAAACAGACAGCCTAGTATAAGAAGTATTAGAAGTAGCAGTCGTTTGAAATCACCGAGTGCTATGGAGAGTGCTGATGAAGGTAATGCTTCAATCTATTGATATACTGCCCTCTAGTGATCATAAAGTCAATTTAGTTTGGTTGGTTTATCATACAAGCAGCTCACAATATCCATGGTTTCATTATTATCTTAAGTCTTATTTATTGAATTATGTTAATAAATTATTAAAAGCCTCTTTCTAACTAGTACTGCTGTGTATTTTTGTTGTGCATATAAGATGACATTAAATGAAATAAAAACAAAAGACAGCCTCTAGGTAATTGTAAATCTGATTAAAATCTGATGTAGTGTACAGGCTTTAATTATTTTGGCTATAAATTTATTTTAATTTTATTTTTTATTACTTTTGTTATTAATGCCTTTTTAGTCCCCGTTCGGACGCAGTCCGAAAACGGAGACTTATGTTTTGACCTCCGTGTGTCTGTGCGTGCCTGCGTCCATGCGTGCGTCTGGACCTGTATCTTAGAAATGCCTGGACTAATCACAATCAAACTTCACACATACATCATACATGATTATTATACATATGCACGTCAATTTGTTTTATGATCTGATTCAAGATGGCCGAATGGCGGCCATTTTTATGCTAACAAATCCTAAAAATCAAGCATTTCTCGGCTGTTTACAGATGGATTTTGTTCAAACTTGGTATATACATTAGACATTATGGGATAATTTTGTTTTTCAGATAAGATTCAAAATGGCCTACTGGCGGCCATTTTGTTTTAATGAATGTGGTTCTTGTGCCATATCTCTGACTTGCTTTCACTGATTATGTTAAAATTTCAAATAATCATTATACATCATGTCATAGATAGACAGATATATTGGTTTGACAATCCTGTTTAAAATGGCCAAATGGTGGCCATTTTTGTGCTAAAAAAATCATCAAATATCAAGCATTTCTGGCATTTATGGATGGATTTCATTCAAACTTGGTACATATATTAGACGTTACAGGTTCCTGATGCACATCATTTATTTTTCAGATCGGATTCAAAATGGTTGTCTGTCGGCCATTTTGTTTTAATGATTGGGCTTCTAGAGCCATATCTCCTAAATGCTTTTACTGATTATATTCAAATTTTATATATTCGTTATACATCATGTTATATATATACTGTAAAGGAGTTAATTATTCACTGAGTTTTAATTTGGCTTATTTCGCTGACAGGAAAATGCGCTAAATTAAAACCCAGTGAATATGTAAAGTTTAGCATAGAACACATTATCTAAATGATAAAACCATGAATTTAAAACCCACTGAATATGCCTGAAATGGCAAATCAGTGAAATTTAAACCCAGTGAAAATTAGTCATTTTACAGTACATGTATTCAAAATGGCTGATTTTGAATGCTGTTCCAGAGCAATATCTCTCAATATGAACAAGTACTTGTTTGACGATCATATACAAATGTCAATCATTTTATTGTTAAAAAATCATATTCCTGACATGGTTATATTCCAGCTATATTACTATAGACAAAACTATATATCTTAAATTTGATAACTAACTGGGAATGTGCCATGCATGGCTTATTATTTATACTTATATAATGTCATGTGTTTATTATTCTGCATGCAGTTATTCTTCACTACCTGCTTGTATCTGATAGCTTTCACAATAATTTGCCACTTTTGATTGTTTTCATACAATACTGTAAAGGGGTTAATTATTCACTGAGTTTTAATTTGGCTTATTTCGCTGACAGGAAAATGCGCTAAATTAAAACCCAGTGAATATGTAAAGTTTAGCATAGAACACATTATCTAAATGATAAAACCATGAATTTAAAACCCACTGAATATGCTTGAAATGGCAAATCAGTGAAATTTAAACCCAGTGAAAATTAGTCATTTTACAGTATATGCTTTTCATTGTCCTATATGGAGAAAGTTGATATTGTGTTGTTTTATAGATGTTTATTATTCCTGGTTCTCTGTTTCCTTTAATGTAACTGCCAGCTGTTGTTACACATACTATACTATACAGATAAAACACATTATTCTAAATAATTTAGTGGATCAAATTATGTCATCAATTTGACATTTAAAACCAAAACATAAAAAAATGTAAACCATTTTCAAGAATCTACCGTTTCTCCTTACACCCTTCACCTGCAGTGGGCAATTAGAGCCAAATAACTTAAAAAAATTGATAATGATCTGAAAATTCTTGCTCCATAAGTTTGGATGGAAAAATATTCACATTCCAAGGATTAATCCAGAGGTGCCCTTCATTCTTAAAACATTAAAGGTCAAAGAACCCAATACACTACACTACACTCACTCACTGTGTTTCAATGTTTTATAGATTCAATTTGTGAAACAACCCAAAGTTTATTTGTCTGTCAATATCTACACCTGCTAGTTTGACACGTATTAATAGCGGGTGAATAAAGGTGATTCACTTTTATTGTCTACTATTAATATGTATAATGTTAGGTATTTGTGTTGTCGTCACCGATACATAATATTTTTTGATGATTCATCATTTTAAAATTGTATCATTTGCTTAACTTGACTGTTACTAATAATAGAAGAGAAGTATGTCAAAAAGTAATAGTAGAAATGTTGATAAATCTGGTTGGTTCTCATCTCATCCGATGCTGCAAACACCACATCTCAGTTAATTACCAAATAATATTTTATTGAACTAGTGTAAAAGTAAAAATAAAATATTTCCACAATATCTGATAAAGGGTCATGAGTTGCATTTTTGACAAATATCAATTGGCATATACTTGCGCTAATGCAAATACATGTAACTAGAAATAAATTAAAGATTATCCTTCTAAGATGCTGTTTACTCTGTATTACCTGTACTAACATTTTACCTCAATTTATATTCATTTCAGACCACACAAGTCTTTTTGATACAGTATTTGATACACGCATTAAGAAAATACACAGCTTGTACCACTTTAATATGTAATGTGTGAAAGTTCCTAGATAAGGTCACATGAATTAACTAGTGTGCTTTATAATCAATGATCTTTTTAAGCTAGTGAATTATCCTGCCAATTAAAAATGATTGCATTCATGCATGGAGATGATGAACCCCCTGACCTTATAGCTGCCGTTCATACTGAGCACTTACTATATTGCCTGTAAAGTACTAAGTGTTTATTTGTTTATCAGAATAAGATATTTAATTAAAAATAGTTGTCTCTGTTTCTTTGCAAATAGACAAATGATCAGATCATGAATACCATTAATCTGTACGAGTATCATGTGATACTTTGTTTTAAAGCATTAAATTTGTGTCTACCTGTAGAGGGCACACATAAATACATGTCAATTTAGTGCAATTTTGTGGCTACATTCCATCCATAACCTGAAGAATACTTGCTGAAAATCTGTTTATTTTTTGCAAGTTTAATTAGCAATGTTGCTCTTGATAAATAGAATTAGACAATGCTTGCTGGTATTGAAGGATTTTGAATTTAAGGCAATATTTCCCATGAACTGTTTTGTGAAAGAAGTTAAAAGTGGTAGGGATGAATCAAGATCTCCATTCACTGTTCTCCACAGAATTATTTAGCTCCGCTGTCGACTTTGTCGAGCGGAGCTT